CTCCCTTCCCCCCTCCCTCCTAGTAACTTACAGCTGATTGGGAGCCATTTTCCAGAACTTGGTGCTACCATGGTGCGGGGAGGTGGTGAAGGGTCACTGTGCATTTTGCCTTCCTCCCCATGTTGGTCCCTCCCACCAGCCAGGGGCTCAGCTCTGAAACCAGCCTCATTACTCATGTCTAATGAGCATGTGCTGTGTGCCTGTCCTGAGGGATGAAAGGGAGACATAGACCTGCCCCGCCCTTTAGGGGCACACAGGCTCCTTGCTAAGACCAAACAAAGCTGCTAATGCTGCTAATGTGCGCAGGTGCAGGATTCTTGGTCCAATGAGTGATGGACATAAGGGTGATGGATATAAGGGGTGGACCTGAGGGAGCGGGTGGTGGGCCTGGAAGGATGGCCGGGTGGAAGTGAGGGCAGGGGAGGAGGGTCTGGGTAATCCCAGCGTCCTGGGCAGATCACACTTGGAGCCGCGAGGAGCGTGATAGGGGCTGGAGTGCCCAGGGAGAAGGGAGAAGGTGCGGAGTGTTCTGTTGCCGGGGGGCTGTGCAGGGTTTCTGAGCAGCTGGGGAGACCTGGTCCCCTGTTCACATTTAGGAAAAATAATCCACAGGTTGAAGTTGGAAATAGGAAGACTGGTTAGATGGCCATTTGGCGATGTCCCAAATGTGTAGGAGTGTGCGGTGAAGATGGGAAGGAGGAAAGGGGACTTGGTCGTGCAGGTGGCGGGGGAGAGAAAGGCATCAGGTGGATGTAGACTCTGGGACCTGGTTAGGACTGAGGGGTGTGCTTCAGGTTTGCCATCCAGAAGGAATCGTTCAGCTGTTACTAAAAAGCAAAAAGGTTTTCCTGGGCTGGGATTTAAAATGGACCTGAACTGTGGGTGGTGAGACCGGGGCCCTGCAGGAAATGGAAGGTGGGGTATGAAGGAACCGGATTGAGGGAGCTGCTGGTGGTGCAGGTGAGGGGGGCTGGGAGGGGTGTGAGGCACCCCATGAGCAGCAGCTGGTCCCACCCTGGGGGGAGCGGGAGGGGAGGAGGCGGTACCACTGGGGCCAGTGAAAGCCAGACGCTGACGCAGTGGCCTCCTGGTTGGTGTCATTATGAGGGAAGCAGCCACTCCAACAAGTCAGAGCAGGGAGGAAGCGGGAGCAAGCGCCAGCCTCCCTTTCCTCTCACGCTCTCCTCTCCTGTCAGCCAAGCCCAAGCCAGGCAGAGGCAGCTGGAGGCGGCCTGGAAGATGCAGTCCCCAGGCCTCCTGGGGGCAGAGAGGGGCGGAGAGTAGAACCCGGGGCCTGGTGGGGAGGGAGAACAGGAGCAACATGGTGAAGTAGGTGTACCTTTTGCTTAGATTTCACGCCTGTCTTCTCGGGTGGTCTCTGCCCTCAGGGGCTCCTCAAACATCCTTCTGTCTCTGAGTCCACAGAGCCTTGTAGTATAGCGCTGGCACATAGTAGGTGCTTTATAAGGTTCTGTGGGAGGGTGGTGGGTATCTTTCTTTCTGGAACCCCCCAGAGCCCCAGCCTCTCTCGGGGCTGGGAGCCCTGAGTCAGTGTGACTGACCGCAGGATGGCCTCCCTCAGCCCCCTGCTGTCCGCACTGGAGTGGGACAGGGGCCGGCAGGTAACGACCATGAGACGAGGGAGCAGGACGGCCCGAGGGAAAATGGGGTGTGCACAGGGGACTGCTAGGTCTCAGCGAGGACTCCTCAGGAGTCCATTCCAGGGAAGGTCCCGGGAGAGTGTGCACCATGGGCACCAATTCCGTTCTTTAAAGTTCACTCTCCAAGCTGAAGGTGGCATGATCGCAAGCCAGAGAGAGGTCAGGGATGTCTGAGTCTGCTTCCTGCCCTCCAGCTGGACTCCTCCATCCGGCTCCTCCTGCCCCTGGTGGCAGAAAGTCTTGCCCTGACTATGCCCAGTAGTGGGAGGCCTGGACGCTGGTCTCAGCCCAGAGGGTTCTCCAGGGATGGGCCAGGGCCAGGGATGCAGGAGGCCCATTGTCCTCACCCGTGATGACCCCCTCAGGTCTGCCTCTTTGGGAACTCAGAGGTCTCCCTACGGGATCACCTACGGGCAGGGGCATCTGAGGAGGAGCTGCTGGGGATCATCGGGGCCGCTGTGGGCAGGAAGAAGCGGCAGCACGCAGGTAAGGGGTGGGGTGGGCGGGCCACGGTCAGCAGGAGGGAAGCAGAGTTTGGGGGGAGGACAAAGCACGGCCTGACAGGGAGCTGGGGACTCAGCGTTGGACCCCGAGACTTGGGGTGCGGTGATGGTTCTCCTCCTGGGAGACTGGCACAGTGGAGACTACAAGGGACAGGTCCCCGAATTCTCTTGGGCTGTTTCATTGGTGGGGAAAGGGGTGTCACTGCCCCTCTTGTCCCCCACACGGTCTTCTGTCAGGAGGGCAGGGCCTGGGCAGGGCCGCAGCACACAGTGGGGCTTTGTCAGGTGCTCCTGGGTGAGTGCATGTACACGGGCTGTCACACCACTGTGTCCTTGTTTGTGTCACGGACTGTCCCTCCTTCTCTCCCCTCCCCTGCCCTCTCTCCCCGCTCTCCCTCCCCATCCTTCCTTACCCCAGGCATGTTCAGTATCTCCCAGATGAAGAACCGGCCCATGATCCTCATCGGTGGGTGACCCAGCAGTACGTAACCACTCACCCTTGTCATTGGGGTTCCGTGGGGTGGGGCCCTCTGCCATAAGGCACCCCTAGACCCTGCATTTCATCCCAATGTTCACAGCCCTGGTTTTCTTCTGTGCCCCCTCATCCTGTCCTGCCCCCTCATCCTGTCCTGCCCCCTCATCCTGTCCTGCCCCCTCATCCTGTCCTGCCCCCTCAAGCTTGGACTGCCTCTGCTCTTCCTTCTGCACGCACCCCTCACCAAGCATGCCACAGGAATAGTCATTGTGTCACCAGAAACCGGGGGGTCCTCCGGATTTAATGATCGCCATGCCGTTCCCCACATGTAGCGCTCCGGGTTAAGGCAGAGACTTGTCCTCGGCTCTGGGACGTCCCGGCTTGGGAGCAGTGACAGGTGTCTTCCCTCTGGAGTGTGGGCTGCGCACGGGCGCATCTGGACCGTTAGCACCCACTGGGCGATGTGTCGCTGGCTTCTGCGCAGCGCAGAGCTTGAGCAGCAAGCTGTGTCCTC